TTGTCCTTTCCCAGTCCCAGTTTTAAAACATCCATTCCAAACAGAAGAAAATGGCAAGTGAGTCAAGCCTTAGCATTTGGTAATGTGAAAATTGAAGCAATTGAGGAACGGTTATTAATAAACATACAGTTCATACTATGAAAGCATGGAAATGTTTCCTCTGTAATGTAGCATGAGGGTGGAAATGTTGATTCACTGAAAAATTAATCAACTTTCAGCAACGAAGAGGAAATGTGCACCATGGGAGGAGCATAAGCTTGGAGTCAAATGCTGCAGAAGTTGTATGACTTGCACAGGTCACCTTTCTTCTTACGCCTGTCCTCCCCACTTGTCTCTTCACCTGTGAGAGGGGGCAACACAACAATGAATAAACCTCCCTCCCCCAAAGAGCTGTCTTGAGGATGATATGAAATAAACAATGTTAGATCTCAGTTTAACAGAAGTGGTTCCGGACTGGGAGTAAATGATGCTTTAAGAGTCCTACCCACAATTATGTGGTTGTTTTGTGATAAACAGCTTGGTATTTTCAATAAAATTAATCATATACTTATCCTATGACTCATCAAGTCCACTGCTGGGTATTTCACTCTAGAGAAAGGAAAACACATGCTAATGCAGGCACCTCTGCATAAATGTGCATAGTAGGTCTTTTCATAGTCGGTTAAAAAGTGGAAACAACCAACTGGTCTGTCAGCAGGTGAGCTGGTCTATCCCTTCTATGCAATATCACTGGGCAATGAAAGCAATGCCTTTGGGGACTCGTGACTTGCATTTCAAAAGCATTATTCTAACTGAAAGAAGTAGGCCTCAGAAGAGATTATACTAAATGAATCCTTTTAGTTGTCATTCTCCAATCACAAAAAGACAAAACTATCATGCCAGAGAGCAGGTCAGAGGCCACCAGGGTGAGGGGTCCAGCAAAGATGTGATTATGAAAAAGCAGTCTGAGGGAGTTTGGGGATTGATAAAACTATTCTGCATCCTGGTTGTGGTGGTGGTTACAGATACCTATACCTGTGTGGAAACTCAGCATGGTACACCAAAAAAAAACATTTTAGTCTGTCTATTAAAAAATTTAAAATAATAAGTTCAGTGGGAAAAGGGCCACCCTGGTGGCACAAAGCATTGGGACACAACCTATGAGGCTGGCCGCAGTCACTGTAGCACGAGTTCGATCCCTGGCGAGCCAGAGAGATACCCATATGGCGCAGCAGACCTCTCCTGGTTTGCCCGCTGCTCCCCTCAGCAGTGTTATTTCAGTGGCTCTGCCGATTCTGCTCCCCACTCTCTCTCTGATGAATCCTCTCACCCCCCCACACCTCTGGCCTGTGCCCTAGTTCTTGTATGTATAAATAAATCTTTAAAAAAAAATAAGTTCAGTGGGAATAATAATAAATTACTTTCATTTATCCAATTTTTGGTTCACAAGGCGCTTTCATTTGATTCTCACAGCCCAGACACAAACCACTTCCCTAGTAAATATTGATGTAAAAACTGGATCCCAACCTTCCAACCTCAGATCCTGGCTTCTTTTCAGCCCATGTCACTAGATAAAAGTGGAAGTTTTTTTTCTTTTCTAAAAGACTGTTTGAAGGAGGAAGCAACTATATATTGTCCATTTTTTGTTTTGTTTTTCCAAGTTCCTATACCAACCTGTTCATGTTCCTAGGAATGCTTACATTTTCTTTAAAAAACACAGACTAGGCCAATGCACAATTCAATAAAATGACATATTAGTGGGAAGGTTTCCTTTTGGACTGGCTCTTTGAATGATTAACAAAATAAGTGGTTATATTTAAAGCAGTCACTCGCATATCCATTCAACACACCCTTCCTTGGTCACGTCTTGACTTGGTATGGCCACTCTTGCTGGGATAACTCTCCCTACCTTCCTTCTGCCTAAGCCCCATGTTTCCTTCAGATCTGAGCTGCAGGTGACTTTCCCTGTCCTTCTCCAATAAGCTTACTTAGGTGCTTTATTGGTTCTCCTGACCATACTCCCTTTAGCTCCATATTGATGCAGATAATTTCAGTACCTCCTGGTGCTCTCTCTCCCACAAGACTGTGAGCATTCAATCATCTGGCACAGGCCTGAACACAATTAAGGGGACTTACTTCATTGACGGTGGCTCACAAGTCCCTTCTTTGTGTCAGGCAATCATCTACTGCAGAGGAACAGTACACAGCTCATGCTCATGGAGCTTATAGTCTAAAAGTGAAAGAGATAATAAAGACCAAATAGTATGCATCATCTCTTGATATATATCAATGAAGAAAAATGAATTCATTCAAGGTGGCAGAGTGTAATGGGCTGCCTCTGCTGGGCCCTGGGACATGCACCAACCACCCACTGCCGCTTACAACCTGAACAAACCTCTCCGGAGCAAGGGCTACAGGGAGTAATTTTGTTTTGGAATCCTAGTGTGTATTTAGATTTTAAACTAATAACCTGCCAGCCTCCGGCCATTTGAGAACTTGGCTTCCTTTCACTCATAAAGTGCCCTTTATGCCTCAGAGGTGACATAGAATATCATTCCATCTTTGCCCTGAAATACTCCCGACTGGTGCATGAAATGGGCCTTTATGGTACATCAAAGGCCCATAACTCTATCCTTGCCTGGACCTTTGATATTTTCTGTTTGGCCAGTGAAATTATTATCTCATCAATCCAGCCCTTTTTATCTTGTTGGTTATATCTCTGTTATTGCTTCCCTGGTGAAAGGGCTAAGGTACCCTGTCTCCTGGCTGCCCCGGATTTGAATGTCCTTTAAGTTTTATCTCCAAAAGCTAAGAAATCCAGTGTTGAACGCCTTTGGCCTCGGTCTCCTAAGGGAAATGTCAGACAGCATCCCTTTCACAAATGCCTCTAATTTATGCTTCTCAGAAGCCAGTCATCCATCCCTTCCATGGGTTTTCTTGAGCTATCTGAATCTAGTGGAGGTGGAATTCATTTAAAAGAGGAGCTGGGGGGCCTCCCTGGTGGTGCAGGAGGTTGAGCGCTGCGCTGTGAAGCTGCCCACAGTCTCTGCAGCGCCAGTTCAACACCCAGCTGACCGGCGAGGGTCCCACATGGCATGGCAGACCTCTCCTGTCATGCCCACTGCTTCTCTCAGCAGTGTGTTTTGTCAGTCTGCCTGTTCTGTTCCCTGCTCTGTCTCTGGTGAATCCTCTCACCCTCCTGCACATCTGGCCTGTACCCTGGTTCTTGTATAAATAAATAAATTAATTTAAAAAATAAATAAATAAAAGAGGAGCTGGATGTCATTATTAGAAATGTGCTGCTCACATCAACACAAAGGTTTCAAGCAGCTACTCTGTATCTCCTTTTACTTAGAAATTAGAGAACCACCCTTAACCATGTATTTGAATTATTCAAGGATTATTTATTGAGTTTCTATGCACCAGGGCACCAGGTTTGGGCACCAGGGCACCAGGGATACCTAGACAGATGGTTTGGGCACCAGGGATACCTAGACAGATGACACTCTCCCTTCATGCCCTCAGAAAGGTTCTCTCTTATCCTAATTTATTACCACTTCCTCTGGATCTGCCTCTCAAATAATGCTCAGATTCATTCTCTCTCTCTCTCTCTCTCTCTCTCTCTCTCTCTCTCTCTCTCTCTCTCTCTCTCTCTCTATCTCCCCCCACTCTCCCCCTGCCTTCTAACAGGGTCTCGTCATCTCCCAACTGAATCACCGCAACTATCTATTAACAGGACTCTCGGCAGCTAGTATTACCCCCTATAATCCACCAGAATCCAGCCGTAGGCATCAATCTACAACTCGAATGCAATTTTTTCAGTGTTCTGCTCCAAACCTCTCAAACTCAAATGCCTTTACTGTCCAGGCAATGAAAAAATAAGTGAAGTAG